TGCGAGCCACCCTGCTTTCCCCCCCTCCACTGGCTGGGAGAGCACTAAGGGGGCAGCGGCTCCTAAGGAGGGGAGAGTGTGGTTTTCACGAATAATTCCGTTGGCCGAGGGGCATGCCGTTCGGTCCCCCGACTCAGAGTTTGGGCGTCGAGCCCCTGCCTGCGCTCCCCCACCCCCACCCCCACGCCTGGTCACTGGGGGAAGGGTCCCCAGGGAGGGAGGGCCAGGATGAGGCAGTGCCTCCACTTGGAGGGCAGAGGGCACGGAGCTACGCGCACGTGGGAGAGTCCATACTGGGTCCTACCACCCGGCTCGGGCGCAGGACGAGGTGCGGGCTGTGGGCGGGGATGCATTTCTGCAAATCTCAGGGACCCAAACCCCGGAGGACGCGGCGGCGAAAGTCACCAGCTCTGACATTGTTAGGTGTGGGAGAGGAGGGTGACATATATGTCTACTGTCACCCCTTGAGGAGCCCGCAACCACACTTCTGGACCGAGACGCGTTCCGTCTGCCCCCTCCGACTCCCTCCCCAGCCGGCGCCCAATCCCACTTTCGGGCTCTTAGCTCTCGGGGCGCCTCCGGGGCAGCCAGGAGGCGTGGCCCGCCGCGCGCCCGCCCCTTTGATGTGCGCCGGCGCCGCTCTGATAGGACAGTCGCTTGTGACGTACGGGGACTGCGGTGGGCCCCGGTGCCGCAGCAGCCGCAGCGCGCCGGCGGTGGCTCGGGCTCGGGCTCCCGGGCATTTAAAGGGGACGCTGCGATCGCCCGGGGGGATGGGGTGCAGGTGGAGGGGACGGCCCAGGCGTACATCGTCCACGGCCCCTCGGGATTGGGGGGACTCGTGAGCCGGTGTCCCTAAACCAGGGGCTGGAGAAGACACGCCACGTCCCCTCCAATTCCCGTAAGCACCCCTTGCTCCATCCTACGCCCAAATACCCCCGCTCCTCTCCCCTCCACCTCCTCACGCTTCAAACTCAGCCGGGACAGACCACAGCTGTCGCCTCCCCCACGTGAGTGCCAGGCTCGGGGAGGTCGGGAGATGGCCGGGGTCCCGCGGGCGGCAGGGGCTGTGTGGAATTTGAGGGTGCTCCCCAACGCGAGTGGGAATGGGTGGGGGCAAGCCCCTGGGACAGACGAGTGAGTCCCCCTTCTGGACCCTGGGCACACGGTGCCGGGGTGGCAAAGCGCAGGCTTGTTCCTGGCTCTCAGGAATAGTGAGAGCCTTGCGCCTTGTCACCCACCGACTCCCTCCTCTCCCTGAGCTGCGCACCCCCATCCCCTGCATTGGAGCCAGGTACCCGCCAGCTGGGGCTGTGCCACAGCTCCGGCTTTCCAGCCACCTCTAAAAATAACTGCCCCCACCCCACCCACAGCTGCCACCTCCCTGCCCCTGCCCACGGAACCTCTCCACTCCATCTCGTCCCTCCCGGGCAGCGGGAGCAGGAGGTGGATCTCGATCCTAACTTCCTCCCTGACACGAGCTGGTCAGCTCCACCGGTTCACGACCCAAAAGAGGCTTGAGGGTCAGTCGGCTGAATCTCAGGCGGCACTTTCCCCCAGAGTCGCCGGAGAGCCCCGAGTTCTAATCCTGGCTGGGACGACTAGGATGCCAACTTGACCTTTGGGCATCTGTTTTTCCTATCTGTTGCTGGGGTGTGGTGAGCAAGAAAGGCCGCACGCACCGTCGGAAGGAAGGCAGGAGTGGCAGTGGGGTGGCCGGGACTGATTCCTAAAGATGGATAGAGAAGAGCTGATCTTGGGCAGAGGATTTAGAACTGTGGCTTGTCTGGGATCCTCCCCACCCCTCTGCCCCCATCCTGCACATTTCCTGTGGAAAACTCCCATGAGCCCCACCCACCCAATTAAAAGAGGGGCTGCAGATTAGGGCCTAGCCAGAGGGGCTAGTTTCCTCCCCCTTCTCGCCTGGCGACCCTCCCACCCATGGCCACAGACTTCGTCTGGGACCATTTGTCTAAAAAGCTGGAGAAGTAGGTGAGGGCTTGTGATTGGCTATAGCGTCTGGGAGGCGGGGCCTTCTTTTGGACCGGACCACCTCCCAGAACCCCTCCTCTCCTTGCTCCAGCCTGAGAAGACTGCTCAGGGCTTGCTTCACTTTCTCAGAGGGACTCGGCGACCCAAGAGCTGATTCCTCCGGACGGACGAAGCTGCCAGAAGTGAGTATCCTGGTGAGACTTTAAGGGGAGGTAGGCCGCAAGGAGATGGGGTGCCACCGAGGCTCAAGCATGGGAGCGACTTTGATGGTAGTGCAGGACAGGGCTGTATTTTCATTCGTTGTGCAAAGGGACGGAACCCACCTAATGGCCCCCAACAGCCACAGCAAGGTTCCCACGGGGGTCCAGGAGGGCCGGCCGGGGTCCCTGTGACGGCTGAGGGAGGAGGGCATCCTCACATGGTTGGCTCAGTTGCAGGGGGAAGAAGCCCAAGGTGCCTGGCTCTCTGCTCTGACGACAAAAAGTTGGTCTTTGGGTAGCACTTTGTGTTGTCTCTGAATGTGCCCTTCCCTCTCCCGGGAAGGCCTGGCACATGCCCGGCGGAGTTTGCCTTTACAACCGGGAGTGCCTCCGACCTTCCTCTTTAGACAGGCTGACAGGTCATATCAACCAGGATTTGGGAAGGCTGAAACTCCCTCCCATAGGATCGTCCCCACCCTCAACACCTATGACTCCCTTGTCCTCGGGCCTCTCTCCCACAGTGCCTCTGACTCACCTTTTCCAAGCTCCCATCATTTCCCACACTCCCGCTCTGCTTGGACCTTTTCCGTGCCCCTAGACCAGTGGTTCTCAACCTTCCTAATGCCGCGACCCTTTCATACAGTTCCTCATCTTGTTGTGACCCTCCAATCACAAAATTATTTTCGTTACTACTTCATCATTGTAATTTTTCTACTGTTAGGAATCGGGCGACCCCTGTGAAAGGGTCGCTCAACAACTCCCCAAAAGGGGTCGCGACCCCCAGGTTGAGAACCCCTGCCCTAGAAAGTTCTCCAGTGAAAGCCACTCCACAGCCTCAATCTCATCATTGCTTGAAGGGCTTTAGTGCACGGAAGATCAGGGAGCTGAGAGGATTGGGGTAACCCAAGATGGAGGGTGCTAGGGTCCCCCACTCCAGGCGGGGGGTGTCCTTGCCTCTTGGATATCCCAGTCTCTGTCCTGAAGCTCACGAGTTCCTTCTCTGGATACAGAGGTGGTCCAGGGAGAGTCACCTTGACAAAGTCAGAGGTTTGCTGTGATGCCCATGGTGGTCACCAGAGGGCAGCAGCCAGTCAGGTTTTTGCTCAATGTCTTCTTGGTTCTGCCCCGGCTGCCTCCTCTTCTTATTCAACTTCAAGTGGAGAGACCAGAGCAGAAAGGGCGCTGGGAGCTGTGGATGGTACCCTGTAGCTGCATTGGAAGGACCCAAGAAGGCAAACAACCCCATCGCCAAAGTCTGCCAGAGATTTAAACCCAATTAGAGTACCAGAATGCTCTTTAAAGGCAAGGATGCTGAGACTACATCTCACATGCTTTGAACATGTCAGGAAAGACTAATCTCTGGAGAAGGACATCATCAGGCTCAGTAAAGAGGAGGGGCGGCAACAAAGAGCAGGGCCCTGGACGGGATGCATGGACACAGTGGCTGTAACACTGGGCTCAAGCATAGGAGCAATTGTGAGATGACCAAGTTTACAAAGCACCTGTTTTTTCCTCACTGCTCGTCAGGCTCCTGAATTCCAAGTGCAAGAATAACTTGCTTGAGGACATGCTGTTTAGCTGAGACAATGGGCTTCCTGACTAACAGCAGCACAGGGCCTTAAGTAATCTTGTTCTTGGGGATCCGGGAGTCAGAAGACTAAAAACAGGAACTCCAAAAGCAGCCCGTTGCCACCCTTCAAAGCCGCTATTATCTGTGGAACTCAGGAGCCTGTGATGTGCAGTGAGGAGCTCTGGGAAGTAATGGTTATGCATTGGACTGCTAACTGCAAGGTCAGAGGTTCAAAAGCACCAGACTCTCATCTAGAGAAACACAGGACTTTCTAGTCCCATAGCTGTGGGATACCAGCCCCCACAATCGAATGGGTCCAAGGGGCAGTTGGTAAATTAAAGAGACATCAGAAAAAATAAAGCATGCAAGTGCCCACCTCTAAGACCATCATGATTTTAGGAGCCAGGTCCACGCAGAGAGAGAGAATATATTTCCAACCGAGGCTTACATATACTCTAGGGGCATGCAAGTCCCCCTAATTACATAACAGGAGGGGGATGAGCTAGGGGTGTACACACAATAGGAAGGGGAGGCACTAGGGGCACACATGTGACAGGAAAGCATACACATAACAAGATAGGTGGGCTCCAGAGTCAAGATGGCAGCCTAACCTGGGTCATCCCTTAATCGGCTTGACCTTAGGAGTCTTTGGGCTCTCCTTCAGGGGAACCAGGGGAGTGGGTCTGTGGTCTGATTGCCTTAGATGACTGACAACCTCCAGGTAGGTGACCTTCCAGCAGTTGACCTCCAAGTGTATAGTTAGTGACCATGTGTTTGCAGGTAGCACCTTAAACTTGGCATTATTATGGGGAGACATCACGGGGAATAACTTACTTAAGAGAATATGAGTGAGACGGATCTCCAACCCGTGAACACGAAGGTTTCCTCCACGGGACCCTTTGCCTCATCCTTAATGTATGAATGTTGAAAGTTTGTCTCATATACTCTCTTCCTGGTTGTTTGCCACACAGAGAGAGCTAAGCTCAGAAACTCGCTGGGGCGGGTCTGCCCTGTCCTATAGGGTCTATATAAGTTAGCATCCGCTTAGTGGCAGCGAGTTTATTCTTTTTTGAGCGGTGCACAGTGAGCAGGTACTTTCTGTGTTAACTGGAATGTGTCCCTGTGTGAGGGGTCCGTGGCAGATAGAGGAAAAGGCACTAGACTTCAGCTTGGATCTGGTTTTCAGAACTGTCTCTGTCACTTCCACTTGGTGGCCTTTGGGCGAATCAGTCAACCTCTCTGGGTTTCTAATAGCACCACCCGTCACCTCTCCAGCATCTTGGGGAATTGCTCCGAGGAGACTATGTGGTCTCCTAAGTGCTGGGCCTGTTGGTAGGGTGGCTTTTACTGAGACCTTGGCAATGGTTCCTGGAAATCAGAAGAGGGGATCGATGCAGGTGGGCAGCAGGTAGGGGGGCAGGGGATGCAAAAACATCTGGCCCATCTTCTCAAATGGACCTCCTGTATTGTCAGGAGCTCTGGAAGACAGCTAGAGGCCACGAATCCCTACTGTCGGTGGGTGCCTCGGGTGCTGTGCTGACAATGAGTGGATGCTTACCAGTCGTTGGCCTCCGATGCCTGTCTAGGGTAAGTGGCGGCCTTCAAGGGTCTCTTAAGAGGAGGCCGTCTGAGTCTCATCCTCACCTCCACCAAGGTTCCATTAATCCCCAGAAGCTTCTATCCCAGGTGTGGGGCACTGATGCTTCTCAACCCCAAGGCCATTGAGACACCAGGCAAGCTATTGGTGAGACCACAGGGTGACTCTAGGGTTGAGGTCAAAGGGACTTTAGGGAAGCAGGTGACCCCTGGCCATCAAGCTGATTCTGACTCATTAGAACAGAATAGAACTGCCCCATAGGGCTGCGGTTTTTATATATGGAAGCAAACGGCCTCATCTTTCTCCTGTGGAGCAGCAGGTGGGTTCGCAGTTGGTCACTGGACTACTGCATTCTCCTGGCTCCTGGGAGACAGACAGCCAGGTTCAAATCCAAGTTCTGGAATTTAGGGGATTGGGCTTGTGTTCTTAGTGGGCTGGGCCATTGACACCCCAGGCCGAGTGACTGAAAGGCTTTTAGGAAGAAACCAGCCAGAGGGAATGTCTGTCTCCGGGCTTGGGTGGGATGCGGGTGGGGAGTGAGCCGAAGCTGCCCCTGTACCCAGTCTCACTGCTCCATGCAAAGGTGACAGGGACCAGCTGCGGGGTTCCTGCTGTCCCCATTTGCTTGCCTTGGCTGCTGCACACTTGCCCTTTGGTCCCCAGTCCTCTACTTGTCCTGGCTAAGGTCCCCGCTTTCTGGGAGGCCCTCCCATTCACTATCTTTATCCAGCTGTCTGTCCCCAGGCTCCTCTGGCACAGCCTCCTGCCCTCCCCTCCTCGCTGCTGCCTGACACCCAGCTCCTCCCCTACCAGCTGCTTTGGGGCCCTGCCTTTTCAGCCACTGCTGCACTCTCTCTTCTCCCTCCCATTTCCCAGGTGTGCCGTGGCCTGGCCTGGGGGACTCCCACCTCCCCAAGCCCCACTGCTTCTTCGGCAGCCTGCTTGCTTCGGACCCTGGCAGAAACCCCACCCGCTGACAAGCCCCTCCCAGGGAATTGGCAAGTGAAAGTGATGAGCATCAGCGCAGGGCCCTGAGCATCATGCCCGGGAAAGCCTTGTCCCTTCCCTGGATGTGTCCGCCTAGAAGCAGCTGCCAGAGAGCCTGCCTGGGTCTTGTAAGGTCCACCCAAGGGCTCCGATCCTGTTCACTGGCCAGCGGGAAGGCCCTGGCTGGCGGCACATTTCTCCTTTGGCGTGAAGCCTTGGCCCCTGGAGCTTGGCTCCCCAGAACCCATCCTGAGCCTGCCATGAGGATACGAGTGGACATCTTTCCACACCAGCAACAGGGGACCAGGGGGATTCTCTAAGGGCCAGAGCCGGAAGCCCCAAAGGGTGACATGCAAGGCCCTCCTGTCGCCTAAGCTCCTCCCTTGTTAAGATTCCAGATTGGAGCCGCAAAACAGGTCCCAAGGCCACCCTTGCAGTGGTTCTGATGTAGGATGCTTGGGGGGGAGGGCGGGGCAGGCTTGTGAACTGCTCCGCCCTGCTTAACCGGTCTTGGGTCCTCCCCAGGTCTTGGATATGTCCGCGCCTCAGCCTCAGGCCCAGCCCTGCTAACCAGCCTCTTCCCGGCCGGCTGTCGCCGCGCCCACTCTCGCTTGCCCCCTCCTCCTCTCCCCACTCCTCCCCACCCTGCTCCCAGGACGGCGGGATGGCTGCGCAGGGCGCACCGAGATTCCTCTTGACCTTCGACTTCGACGAGACCATCGTGGATGAAAACAGCGACGACTCGATCGTGCGCACCGCGCCGGGCCAGCAGCTGCCGGAGAGCCTGCGAGCCACCTACCGCGAGGGCTTCTACAACGATTTCATGCAGCGCGTCTTCAAGTACCTGGGCGAGCAGGGCGTGCGGCCCCGGGACCTGCGCGCCGTCTACGAGGCCATCCCCCTGTCGCCTGGCATGGGCGACCTGCTCCAGTTCGTGGCCAAGCAGGGCGCCTGCTTTGAGGTGATTCTGATCTCCGACGCCAACACCTTCGGCATCGAGAGCTCCCTGCGTGCCGCCGGCCACCACGGCCTGTTCCGGCGCATCCTGAGTAACCCCTCGGGCCCGGACTCCCGGGGGCTGCTGGCGCTGCGCCCCTTCCACAAGCACAACTGCGCGCGCTGCCCCGCCAACATGTGCAAGCACAAGGTGCTCAGCGACTACCTGCGCGAGCGAGCCCAGGACGGTGTGCACTTCGAGCGCCTCTTCTACGTGGGCGACGGCGCCAACGACTTCTGCCCCATGAGGCTGCTGGCGGGGGGCGACGTGGCCTTCCCGCGCCGCGGCTACCCCATGCATCGGCTCATCCAGGAGGCGCAGAAGGCCGAGCCCAGCTCCTTCCGCGCCGGCGTGGTGCCCTGGGAGACGGCCGCCGACGTGCGCCTCCACCTGCAGCAGGTGCTGAAGGCGTGCTGAGGGCGGCCGCCGCAGGGGGCGGCGAGTGGGACAGACTGACTAGTGGATGATGCCCCCTTCCCTTTCGCTCGCTCGGGGACCGCACTGCTGCGGGGGGATTGCGGCCTCTTCTCGTTGGGAGGTGGGAGAGGGGGGGTTCGGAGCGGTCTCTATCTATGCAGTTCTCCAGCTCTGCCGCTACAGTAGCATCCGGTGCTTGGCCAACCCAGGCGGGGCGCGCTCCTTGGAAGGGCTTCCGTGGCAGAGGCGAGAAGTGACAGCTCTCGCTGCTTTAACTGCCCCTTCCCTGGTCTTCTCTCAAGGAGACCTAGAGTCCGGAAGTCCTCTAGGGCCCAGCCACCTATGGTTCACGCTACTCCCATTGGAGAGAAGATGCTCCCTCCGCCGACGACCCCAGGCCTCTTCCACCTTGCTTCACCCACGATCGCACACTATTGCTAAACGGGCATCCCACCCACCCGCCAGCACCCCACCCAAGGAAAACAAGCCAGAGGAAACAGTCACCGCCTGGTGGTGCCACGAGGTGGCGCACCGTCCGGCTCCGAGGACCCTGGCAGCCTGCGGCAGTGCCGCCGCCTCTCACCCCCAGCCTCGTCTATGCAGCAAGAGACCAGGGACTTTTACCAAAGTCGCCCCCGTGGGCTAGGCCCTTCGAGCCTCCCCCTCCCACAGCCCCGTGTGGAACAGAAAGCCATGATGTTTTTAAGCAGAGCCATCAAAACTCCTTCCTCTTTGGTGTTGGGAGCTATAAAGAAGGCGAAGGGGGAGGAAGTGTCTGAGATCTCTTGCACCGCAACCTTGAGGACGGCGGTCAAGGTGGTGTCTATCCGCCGAGCCCCACCTAGAGGAATGGGAGGTGGTGTCTACTCCTGGGCAGGGGCTGTCCACCAGGACTAATCTAGACAACACAAAGCACACTACACCAGCACTCACTGCAGGGGAGGGGTCTCACTGAAGATGGAAGAGGGTGAGGCGGGGAGAACGAGGACAGCCTCTACTTACTGCTATGGAGTCGGTGTGAACGCATCGCTAACCTACAGGTCAGGGTTGAGCTGCTCCGGTGAGTTACAGAGAAAGCCCCGTCTGTACCCGTGCATCAGCTCCTGGTTTCCAACGCCCAGTGCATAACCACTCCGCCCCAGGGCTCCTGCAAGTCACCCTAGGGAGGTTCGGTAATTAGCAGAGGCTAACTGCTAATTATGTGTCGCAGGGGCCTTGACTTAAATGCTTCCTCCCTCTGGCCCCCCAGCGTTGCCCGGCAGCCACCAGGAAGTCCAAGGTTTTATTCAAAGTTGGCACTTGTGGCTGGATACTTCGCTTGCCGTGACCTCTGCAAGCCGGAACAGTTCTTGGCTCCCAGTTCTTCCTCACTGGCAACAAACGGGTTTCTGGCTGGCTCCTCATTCTACCCGCCAAGACCCTGTCCCACTATCGGGGCTGGGAGGGCACAGTACTTGAAGCAGGCAGGCCTGGCCCCGACCAGATGGTGGAGCTCGCCAGTGGCCAGGCGCAGAGCCTGGAGCACCCGGCGGTCAGCAGCTGGGCTCCACATAGTTCCCCGGGAAGAAGCCAGCCCCCTCGGAGCTGACGCCCTCGCACCAGCCATCCGAGTAGCGGCGGGTGATGCAGATGATGGTGCCCTCGGCGAAGGAGAGCTCGTTGTCCTTCTGACGGGTGTATGGGTACAGGGTCACCACTGCAAGGGAGGAAAGGGGGGGTCATGAGCTGCAGAAAAGCTGGGGGGTGCAGGAACAGTCCTTGAAGGCCTCCGCCCCTCCCAGCTGGGTCTACCTTGGATGCCAGGCTCCCCTGCCCACAGCAGGCCTAAGATGAGCCTTGGATCTGTTCATTCAAATGCTGGGAGGGGGGAGGGAGAGAGATGCCTCTGGGGGGATGGGGGGTACAGCCCCCACGAGGCCAGAACCACCCCAGGTCTCTCAAGTACCTTTCGCCAAGTACGCATCAGGGACCCAGGTGGGCTCAGCCGAGCCAAACCCTGGGGGCGGGGGCGGCAGCCCCAATTCGTCCATGTCCAGGGGTGGAGGTGGGGGCAGGTCCAAGGGCAGAGGCAGCTCAGGGGCTAGAAGGGAAAGCAGAAAGGCCACCCTCAGTGCCCAGAAATGACTTTGTTGAGTAGGGCCCCGGAGCCCCCCCACCTGACCCCTCCCGCGGTACCCCTAGGTGCTCAGTAAGCAGGTAGTAAGAGGGCATCAGCTTGGGAGCAGCCAGGCGGCCACAGGGCAGGGTGACCTCAGATAAGTGACCCGCGCTGCCCCAGCCTCCACTTCTTCACCTGCTAACAGGGAGGGGGGGTTAAGGGGGGCCGAGAGGGTTGCAAAGATCTCAGGGTATTGGGCTCAGCGAGGTGGAAGCTTACAGACCCGCTGTTAGCCCGCACCCCCTCACCTTAGAAGGCGGGCTGCGGAGAGTCAGCGCAGAAGGCGACTCCGCATAGAGTGAGGAGCAGGGAGCGCTTACCTGGCAGGGGTGGCGACAGCTCCTCAGGCGGAGGGGGCAGCTGGAAGGCAGCAGCTGCGGGTGGGGCCACGGGGCCAGGGAGAGGTAGGGCAAGGGGGGCTCCCTGCCCCTTGATCTGGAAGACCCCACCGACCCCTTCGGCGCTGCTGGAGACAGAAGAGGGCGCGTTCGTTCAATAGCGGCGCCTGCTGGGACTGGGCAGGCCTGGACACCCACCACCCCGCGGTAGGGCTCACCTGGCCGAGGCCAACGAGGAGACGGACGAGGCCGTGGAGAGGTGGCCATCGGGCACCACCGGGAGCTGCACGGGCTCAGGGATGCGGGGCGGCCTCCTGGGGGCGGGAGAGGGGCATCTTTCAGCAAGGAGGGACTGGGGTGGGGAAGACAAGCCAGCTGGTGTCATTTGGGGGCGAGGAGGGGAGGGGGTCCACCGGATCCGACTGACAAGCCTCACCCCAGGGTGGCGGAGGCGGGCGTGGAAGGCGCCTTGACGCTCTTTCGAGACAGGGTCCCAGTCCGCGACAGCTGCGTGCTCTGGTCCTATAAGGGAGTGGGCAGGGCTGACCTGTGTGGGGACGGGACAGTCCCCATCTCATTCCCGAGAAGAAACAAATGAGGGAAGGGCTGCTAACTGGGAGGGAGCACGAGCGCGCTGGCCCAGCAAGTTCCTATTTCTACTTCTCAGCTGGCCCGCCACCCCCTCCCCACCCCCCCAGTCCGTCTAGCTCGTGGCCTGGGACCTGGGGCTTAAGCTGCTGCGGGCCGCCGACGGCCCGGACCACAGACACTTTGGGGCACAGACAGAGTCTGGTGGCCACTTCCTTTGCACAGCACAGCGGGGATGAGGGGTGGGGGCACCTCCACCCATGTCCCCTCCCCCATCACCACCATCTCAGAGCGCAGGCCCAGCCTGACTGACCGGTGGTCCCTAATTGATTATACTCTGACGGGAGCATCCCGAGGGAAGAGGCCACCGGCCACTTTGGCCAGTCTGTGGAGCTGGGTTTGAAGAACTTGAGGTCCCAGGGCACTTGGAGCACCCAAGTGACACAAGGGAGTGGTGGGGTCCCCAGCTTTGGGGATGAGGGCATGGAGCCCGCTGGGCTCCTGGGAGCAAGAGGGAAGGTGGCTGGAGAAGGCGGAGAGAGCTTCCTAGGAGGAGGCATGGGGAGTGGAGGAGGGAGTGTGGGGTCGGAATCTACTCAGAAATGTGCACGCAGAGGAACTGGCAAAATTGGGGGAGGGGGGGGCTTGAGGTGCCCTTCCCAACTCTCAGAAGGAGGTGGGCAGAGAAGAGACCCCACCCCCTTCCGCCTTGTGTCCCCATCCACAGCCGCTCTGGGTTGATGGCTCAGTAGGGTGACCTCAAACCCCCAGACAGAGGAAGTTGCTGTTCTCATACACACCCTGACATCCTCCCTGCCCCTCTTCCCCTTCGCACCCGGCACCCACAGTGGGGGCCTCAGGATGTGACGCAGATGATCGGAGTACAGGGTGAAGGTCTTCAGGACAGGGAGGGGTCGTGGGAGTATTACACTTCAGGGAGTCAAGAATAGGAAGATCACCGGCAAAACGGAGGTGGAAGAGGGCTGGGCCGCCGAGGAGGAGCGGGAAGCAGTGGGGCCTTTCTCTACCTTGATCCCATGGCCAATGTCATCCAAGCAAGCAAAGTTGAGGGGTTTCCTGTAGTACGGTGTGAGGGCCGGCAGGCTCTCAGGGGCGATGACCTTCTGGCCAGGGGGCAGGCGCTGGACGATGGCCAGTGTGCCAATCTCCCTGCGGGCCACCTTCTCCATGTGCATGTTCACCATCTGCAAGACAGGGTTTGGGGTGACCATGGGGGCATCTGTCCCATGGAGACCTTGGAGGTGGGGGGTAGGGATCATGGGAGGTGGCCAGGTCAAGAGACAGCTTCATCCCTGAGGCCAATGAGCAACTGAGAAGAATAGCAGAGGTGGGGGAGGGGGCCGGGGAAGAAAGGCCAGGACTTCTTCTCCCCCAAGTCTCGGGTGTGAACAAGGCCAGTTCTCCCCGGTCCTATAAGGTCGAAATCCACTCTGTGGCGTCAATCTGGATTTTTTTTCATTTTGTGTTCTGAGCAGGGGAAGGATGGAGCCACTTTAGAGCAACTTCCTGGTGGAAACAAATGAGGGTTATTCTTAGCTGAGCAGGAATGGGAGGAAGAGAGAAAACAAAATCCTGGGGGTAGCCGGGAGGAGACGGGCTAGCTGCGGAGGGCTGCGTGAGGTGGAGGCGGCAGAGGCCTTTGCTGGGTCAGTTCCCTTCTTTAGGGGACAAATAAACGAATAACCTTCCATTTGGAATGTTCTAGGGAGAAACCGGCAGCACCAAAAGGGCACCCCAACCCCACCCCACCTAGCGTGTACTGACCAGTGGCTGGGGCGCAGGCCAGAGCCAGATGCGGAGCTGGTCTGTGTGCGTGCTGAACCGGGCAAGCCCTGGGTCAAGGATCCCGGAAGGAAGGAGGAGGGCGTGTGTGCTAGAAGGGTGGGGGGCACTGCCTGGTGGTGGCAGTTTCCAGGGCTGAAGAAGTCTTTGCCAAGGGAGCCGAGTGAACATTGCCTCTGGGGCATTTCTGGGGTTCCTGTCTTCAGGGGAGAGGAGCCCTGGGGTCTGCTTGTGGGGCTGCGATCCACAAGGAGTGCAGTTGGGAACCACCAGTGCCTCCGAGGGAGAAAGACAGATAGGGCTCTCGATTCCCACAAACAGTTACCAGCTGGGAAACACAGGGGCAAGTCTACCCTGTCACATAGGGTCGCTGTGAGTCAGCATCCACTCCCCGGCAGGGAGGGCAGGGAGTTTGCTTTTGTTTCCAGAATGAAACGGTCCATTTGCCTCTTTGGGGGACTATGCAGCCCTCGCGATTGATAGAGCCAGTTGGCTAACTGCAGGGTGGACTTTGGAGAAGGAAAAAGTCCTGTCTTCAAGGAGCTCTTTGTTACATGGACAGCGAGAGCCCACCATGGAGACAAAGCCACAGAGATAAGGGGGTGCTAAACCTTGGGAAGGACCAGCCCTCTGGACTAGTCCGGCCCCTGGTCTTGGGAAAAAAAGCAGGGAGAGGCATCTGCTGAGGATATGTCTGAGTGGGGCTGAAGAGTCAGAGACCACAGCCAGAAGCCTCCCTGAGCCCTTACCTGGCCCAGCGTGCTCACACGGGCTTCCACTTGCCGCAGCGAGGCTGCCTGCAGATCCAGCATGCGCAGGGTGTGCCCGGCCAGGTTGCCCACCTGGTAGGCCACACTGGCCAGCGCCTGGGTGGTGAAGGCCATGGTCTCCTCCAGCGCCTTCCGCTTGTCTGAAGTCTGAAACACACACCGTCCTGACCTGATGAGGCCAGCCCCTTCCCCCAGGCCCCTGGCAGAGTGGGATGGCACAGGAGGGAACGCAGGGGAGGCTGAGATGAATGCCCAGGGCATCTCCAGAAGGATGTTATGATGGCAAGAGGGCATTCAGTGGCATTCGGAAAGCCAGTGAGCCATTCTGGGGAATGAGTGCCAGGGGAGGGAAAGAGAGCCTCTCTCAAAAGGCCCCCTGGGGATGGAGTTGCCAGGGCCCTGCCACTTTCCTGAGAGCTGCCCTGTTCCCGGGGAAGGGATGAGTAGAAGGAAGGGGAAAAGGAAGGAAAATGGACTGGAAGGGATCTTCTTAACTGAAAAACAAACAACATGCTGTTCCCACTCCAGAATCCTCCAGGGGTGGAGGAGGCCAAGGAATCTGTGCCCTTAAAAGCTCCTCAGGTGACCCTTCTGCTCCTCAAACCTAAAACCAAATTCCTTGTCAAGTTGATTCCAACTCAGAGCAACCCTATAGGACAGTAGACCCGCCCCTATGGATTTCTGAAGGATAAATCCTTTTTTAAAATTAATTAATTTTTAAATCATTTTATTGGGGACTCATACAGCTCTGATCACAATCCACCCATCCATTGTGTCAAGCACATTTGTACATGTGTTGCCATCATCGTTCTCAAAACATTTGGAAGGAGCAAACGTCATCTTTTGTTGGGAAGGCTGGCTGGTGGTTCCCAGCTGCAGCCCAGCACCTCCCCAACCACACTGCCAGGGCTCCTTCTCCTCCTCATGTGACCTTAACGCAAAAGTGAGCCTTTGGGAAACCAGTGATCCGGTCCATTTCAAAGCTAAGTAAGCTGAGGCCTAGAAAGGAGCGGCTTCATCCATTCCCCTCACTAGCTTTCCAATACCCCGAGAACAAAATCCAGACTTCCGAACCTTCTCTCCACCCTCATCCGCTGCAGTTCCCCTCTTCCTGCCAACCACACAGGCCATTGCTTGAAATAGGCTAAGGTTGTTCCTGTAGGATCCCTGGTGGTGTGGTGGTTACTCATTGGGCTGTGATCCAAGAGGTTGGCGGGTTCGGGACCACCAGGTGCTTCATGGGAGAGAGATGGGAATATTCTACTCCCATAAAGTGACAGTCTCAGAAACTCACAGGGGCCGTTTACCCTGTCGTACAGAGTCGCTGTGAATTGGCATCCACTCCACAGCAGCAAGTAGAGAAGATTTTTTTCTACCTAGGGGCCTTTGCACGTGCCAGACCTCTTTTTTTTCTAATCTTAACATTTTATCTCAGCTTCTCAGAGACACCGGAACCCCACTACCCGATTCAAAAGTTCCCTTTGACCTTCATATGGACTCTTTATCATTTCCACCTTGTTCTCCTCTATTCGTGGCACTGAGCACTATCAGAAGCGATTTCTCAGGTGGTGGGGGCGGGCGGGGAGGGGGCTACTCTTGGAAGGGAAGAAGTCATCGCTTCTTTCTCAAGTGAAGTGTTTGCACCTGTTGTGACATTTATGCTTTCACAAAAGATGTCATAATTTTGATAATCAAATTCTTAACTTTAAAAAAGAAATGATTTCTCTATTTCTTCTTCTTCTTCTTCCCCCCCTCTATCCCTCTCCACTAAAAGGTAAGTGCCACAAGGTCCGGGACGTTCCTGTTTGGGAGACTTTCTACTCCCCTAAAGGTTGACGGTCTCAGAAACCCACAGGGGCAGTTCTACTCTCTCCATGAGTCAGAATTGACTCAATGCCAGTGAGCGGGCTTTGTCTAAAGGACCCGGGGAATGATACCTGACACATGAAGATACTTAATAAACATGCGTTTGTCGAATTAACTCATGGGCTGAATGAGGATCTGAGCACTTGCTGGGCATCTTCCTACTGCATGCCAGGCACCCTGCCAAATGGTGGCCAGAGTCATGCTGCCCGTCGGTGGTGAAGGAGTGAGCAGGGGAGGCTGGAGACAGAAGAGGTTTTCCAGTCCCGGATCAGACTGTGGGGGCTGGGACCAAACGCCTTGGGCCTTTTGCTTCCCCAGGCTGCTTCCTCATCCCGGCCAGGTCTGAGCGGTGGGGTTGAGTTGCTGGGCTCTGCCTGGCACCTTTTTTTCTCTGACTGGGCACAAGGACAAGGCCAGTAGACTTCCAGGGAAGGGGTCTCTTTCCTGGGCCCCACGGGTAACCCCCAGGACCCGAGAGTGGGGAGCAGGCCTGGAATGCTCAGAAGAGGGTCCTGGAGTTTCCACCGCTGGCTGAGCCAGGCTGGCACTAACAAGGGGACAGCCCTTCCTGGACAGCCCTCCTGGGGTCACCTCCCAGACTCCCCTCCCAGCTGTTTGCTCCACCCAAAGAGACACTCCTTTGCACGTCCACTTATATCTCATCAGCCTAAGTAACCAAGAGCCCTAACAAGATAAGCTAATCAACGGAACCCTAACAAAACCCAACAGTGTGAGTGGATCATGCTGAGGACTGGATTCTGATTCAAAGTGACCTAGGAGACAAGTTGCAGCTATCCCATAGGATTTCCGAGACTGTCAATCATTACAGAAGCACACTGCCTCATCTTACTCACCTGGGGGAGGAGCCAGTGGGTTTGAACCCTGGACCTTGCAGTTAGCAGTGAAGCTGTGAACTCCTGAATCTCCAGGGCGTCACAGACTCACACCAGGAGGTTCCAATCAGCTAGGAGAGCAGGTTTTGTTCTAGCTCAAGGTCCTGCTTGCAGAGGGAGACCCCTTGATTTCTCAGCTCTCCCCTCTTCTCCCGCAGCCCCCCCACCCCAGAGTGGCATGTGGAATTAGCAACACAAATAGGGAAAGCAGGGGCTCGGGCCCTGCTCTAAGAGGCTGGCGGCTGCACCCTGACCCAAAGTGAGGTCTGGGATGACGACGACATGCAAATAACCTTGTCTGTAAACTCAGTCGACCTTGACCCAAGAACTCTGCAGAGCACCCATCTGAAGTTGTTCTCTCTTCCCCTCCCCCCTTGCCACGGGTTTCTTGACACCTGTTTGTGGGTGAAGGCGTGGAGGCCGTGGGAACCAGGCCTCATGGAGAACAGCTCCGGGAAGCCATAGAAGCCCTCCCTAGGCATTTGATCCCTGGACAGAGTCTCAGAGAGGCCTGGAGAAGTGACCGATGGTGCAGTCCTGAGACTCCCACTGGGGTCTGGCTTTCCTTGCAAGCTCACCCCTCCCCATGTGAGTTCTATTATCCACCGTGTGCTTTTTACCTCTGCACGGAGTAACAATACTACAGACATGGCAAGAGCTACCATGGAGCATGCCCTGCTTAAGGGCCAGGGCCCGGGGTAAAGGCCGACTCTAACACATGATTACAGCTTCTCTCACTGCAGGCACCCCCCGGGGAAGGGAAAGGGGGAAGTTGCCACAGTCCTGGTAGTTGGCAGGTGGCTAGCCTGGGACTTGGAGTCCAGACTCTGTGACCCCGGATCCTGCGTGCTTGCTCTGTGTACCCCAACGAGGGCCCATCCAGACACACGTGAGATCTGCAGGAAGCACAGCAGCCCTGGGGGTGCGTTAGGTTAAGCGTTGGCCTGCTAACCTCAAGGTCAGCAGTTCGAAAGCACCAGCCACTCCCTGGGAGAACTGTGAGGCCTTCAGCTCCCATGAAGACTCTCAGTCTCAGGAACCTGAAGGGCAGTCCCACCCTGTCCTAGAGGGTCGCCATGAGCCAGCATCCCCTCGACGGCAGTGCGTTTGTTTGTTTTTGACAGAGGGAATGGAAACCAAACCGGTGCGGCCGGCACAGCACCACTTGACTCCTGAGGACCCTGGCGAGGTCGGAGAACTCTGCTCTCTAGAGTTTTCTATGGGTGGTTTTGGGGAAGTGGATCACTACGCTTCTCTTCCGAGGTACCGCTGGCTGAATTCAAACCCCTGACCTTTGGGTTGCCCATCTGTACCATCTGGGAATGGAAAGGACAGGTCCCCTGTTCTTCCGGGGCCAAGAGAACGAACTGGCCTGTAAGCCGTGCTCCATCTCACCCAGCAGACCCGCTTGATGTTGGGGCTCTGGAGTGGGATTTCTGGGTTTGAATCTAGGTTTCTGCTGCTCACTTCAAGACCTTGGGAAAGTGACTTGGCTCTTGCAAACCTCAGCTTCCTCATTTGTGAACTGGAATGATACTTCCTCCCAGGACTGGGGTGAGCACTGACTGAGGCAGAGCAGGGACCAGGCTTGGCCCCAAGCAAGTCCCCATCCCCCGCCAGCCTTGTCAATGCCCGCTTGCTGGCTGTCCCTCTGCAGTCTCCTACTGTCTCACCCGCACGTGCTCCTTGGTCTTGGCAGCGCTGGGCCGGGAGGCGGGCCTCCTCAGAATCTGGGCTACTTCAGGTTACAGAGAGAGTTTATCCCAACAGCAGGTGGCCAGACGGTCAGCATTTTGTGGGAAGGTTGGCAGTCTGAAACCACCCCAGACACCTTAGCAGGAAGGCCTGGCACAAGACTTCCCGGCCTCCCAGTGTCCTCAGGAACAGTCCTGATGTGCCACACCTGGGGGGCCGGGACTTGAAATGACCGACAGCTGCCGGCTGGGCTGGTTTGTTTGTTTGCTTGGGTAACAGGCAAAACCTGTGGCCTCTAAAGGAGCGGAGGAAAAGGAGGACAGAGAATGCAAATAACGGTCTTATTGTCACACTGCATGCCAGGGAGGAGAAGGGTGGCGAGGGAAAGGCTGGGCTGAGGCCTGCCCTGCGGCGCCCAGGCTGTGTGACTTAGGACGAGTCACCTCGCCTCCCGCACAACCTCCTTCCTCACCCAGGCCAAGAAATACCAACCTCACTGCCATCGAGTCCAGCTAGTGGTTTTGAACTGCTGACCTTGCAGTTAGCAGCCCAGTCTGTAACCCATGACACCACCAGGGCTCCTTCCTCATCTGTAAGGTACAAATAATGAGACTGGCCTGGCTAGGTAGACATGCAGGGTAGTGAGGACCTCAATACTAGATCCACCCATCGATATTCTCAGTCCTGGGACAACCGGCCAACTGAAAAACCACTCTAAAACGCTCCCTCGTCCTCTTTGGCCAGGAGTCATGTGGTCCACACCCCTGCCTCGGGGTCAGCCCTCCCGTGGCCCCAGCCCAATCGGCAGGCTCTCAACTGTCCCTCAAGGTACCAGGGAAATAACGCCACTCCTCCTGTCCATCTCTACTTCACTGTAATGACTGGGAAGTTCTTCTGAAGTTATCTCCTAGTCCATCCTGAGAATGGAATGACGGTGTGAGGACCAGGGCCTGTGGGGAAAGGCGGGCGGCAGGTGAACCCCAGGTGAGGCTGTGTCCAGCAGTGGGATGGCATTGGCCTGGGTATTTCTGAGACCCTGGGAGCGAGAAGGAACCGGCAGGGCCTTGGCTGGTCAGGATTAGAGTTTGGGGACAAGGTTAAGGTCAAATTTCACATGGGAGGGGTCCTGAGTCCCAACCTAGCCCACCGCTGAGCCCTCTCTGGTACCTGTCAGAGAGTCCCAGGCCTGCCCACCTACCTGCATGTAGTTGTCCTCACAGTAGTTGGCCACCCGAAGCAGGGCGCTGTGGTTACTGCGCAGAGCCTCCCGGCCCGCGGGGATCTCAAACTCCTGCAGCTGCTGCAGCTCCGCCATGGCCCCCAGCCGCTCGCTGGCTGCTCCCCGGGGAGCCAGCGGGTTTTGAGTCTCACCTTGCCCTTGATTGGTTGCTGGGCCTCCCCTCCCTCCCGCTGACTGCTTTTGGTTTCCTCTGCGTGAGACCCAAATCTGCCTGCAAAGGACAGAGGCTCATTCCGGGACAAGAGGAAGTCAAGTCCCTACTTCCTGGGCCTGGGCCTCTCTGTCCCCTGACCAGAGAAGGGGGAAGCCAGGGGTCTCTTTGAGGGTCCAGTCCCTCAACCCCCTCCCAGCAGAGGAAGCCAAGGCCGGGCCAGCGGTGATTGCTCCCTGGTCCTGGAGAGGAAATTGGATGCTGGGGGATGGGGTGGGAGGTTGGGGAGGAAGGGGCCGGCCTGCCCTGGGGGGTGGAGATGGATTTTCCACTCATGAAAGGGGGAGGAAGGGCAGAGGGTGGGGGCTTCCTTGGGAAGCTTGGGGATGAGTCACCAAGGGACGAGGGAGTGGAGGGCGGATAGGACATGGACGCCAGTCGCTCTGGAGGGGACTTGGGATGGTAGTCAGCCCCAATGGAGAATAATAGCCTGTAACAGCAGAAGGACTCGGGGCTGGACACCAGGAAGGACATACCGAGAGGTTCCCTGGGAGAGGCTCGCGGGCCGCTAAAGGGTTCCACCCACTGCACTCCACTCCATTCCTGCTCAAAGCAAGCCTGGGGACCAAGCAGAACGGTCCCATCGAGTTTCCCAGCCTGTCATTTTGTGGAAACAGATCCCCAGGTCTCACTGCGGAGCAGCTGATAGGCTCCAACCACTGCCCTCTTGTTCAGAGCTGCTGCCCCTCCTTAGACATGCTCCGTGTCTGATGCAGGCAGCCCAAGATATGATTGACCGGAGCGCGGGTGACCGAATGTGCCACTCAGATTGGACCACGGGAGGCACCAGCTTCAAATTCCAGCTCAGTGGCTCTGGTTCGGCAAGCAGCAGCGGACAGGGCACCCAGCTGGGCTCAAGGGGAGTGGGCTCCACTCGCCCATTAATGGGGACTTGGGCTGACTGACCGCCAGGGTCCTGTTGGACGGCAGGGTCAATGTGTCACGGCTGTTCAGTGGGACTTGGATCCTGGCAAGGGACTGTCAATGAGGCCGGGCTGGGCCACGGCCACCTCCTGTCCCCTCTCCATGTCCAGTCTGTCACCTGGCGCCTCTCCCAGTTACCCTGAGTCTGATCATGAGGACTCCCTGACTGTCAGAGGAGGGCTGTGCTCCTGGGCTTCTCGGTGGCTGATATTCCTGAAGTAGGATCACCAGGCCTTTCTTCAGCGGTGTTCAGGCTCATTGACTGCTTACACCTCCCAGGGGCTGTATCTGGGTCCCTAAAGGCATCTGCTCCATGAGAGCATCCCCTTGTCATTGGCAGTCATCAGCCAGAGCAGGGATGCCATTAAAGGACGCAGTCCTGGGGGTGGGGGGAGTGTCCTCGGAGGAGACCAAAAAAGATCAGTATGTGGGCCCTGTGCTGGGGACTGTCATCAGGGAGACCCCCTACTCAGGGGCCAGAGCAACAGGTTCTCAACCTGTGGGTTGATACCCCTTTGGGGGTTGAACGATCCTTTCACAGGGGTCACCTAAGACCATCGGAAAACACAGAAATATCTCAATATATAATTACATATTATTTTGTGATTAACCACTATGCTTTAATTATGTTCAATTTGTGACAATGAAAATACATCCTGCATAGCATATATTTACATTATGATTCATAACAGTAGCAAAATGACAGTGAAGAAGTAGCAACGACAATAATGTGATGGTTGGGGGTCACCACCACATGAGGAGCTGTATTGAAGGGTCTCGGCATGAGGAAGGTGGAGAACCGCTTGGCTAGAGGGAACTGACGAGGCAACGCATTATGAAGGCAGGCGTTGAGAGACCACCAAGAGGCATTGGAAGCAACCGAGTCCCCACTTGTGAACCGGCACAAATGTGTTGGCAAGAGTCCATCTTGATTGAAGGAGTGAGTGACGGCAGAGCTAGGGGACCCATGTAAGAGGCCACTTTGGGAGTTCTCTAGGGCACATGAAGGCTTCTTGGGTGAAGGATACAGGGAGCTGAGCCAGAACATACCTTGTTGGCAACAAGAACCACTTCAGCATCACCTCGGAGGGGAGGAGGGCGAGGGGGTGGAGAAGGCAGGCAGGCAATGGAGACGGAGACCCTTGTAGAGCTGGAGCTTGGGATTTGGGGAAACAGTGCCAGTGGGGGCTCTGACCAGCGCCTGGGTAGTGCAAACAGACTGTACTGGGCCACTAATCAAAAGATTGGGGGCGTCGAACCCATGCAGCAGGACCATAGGAGGAAGGCTTGGCCACCTTTTGGACAGGTCAGCACTTCTTAACCCCTTGAGCAGTTCTCCTCCTGTTACATGTGAGGCGGCCCTGAGTTGGAAGGGACTCGATGGTATTGGGTTGGGGGGTGTCCCTGAGGGCAGCATCAGCTGACACAGGGCAGGATGATAAGAAGGTAGGTTAGCGTCAGAGAGAGGGGGGCGGCCTCTGTTCCCTGGCTTACTTGTGGTCCGAGGTGGTCAGGAGGGCTTGGGGGCTCAGGCAGATGATAGGCTTAGAACCTGGAGCCTCTGATCAGCTTAAGCATCAAAGCTTTTGGCTTCCAGACCATCTGCTTGATGTGAAGACTTTCAGCGGCCAAGGAAGAATTCAAGTTCAAGCAGCGTCTTGTCAGGGCTACACAAGGGCTTCCAAGAGCTCCCTCCTTCCTGGCAGGTGAGAGGGGCTGAGGGCTCCCTGGGCTGGGGTCTAGCCCAGCACAGGCGCTGGCCATAACTCTACTGAGAGTGATGATGACAATCACATCAGTGATAATAAGAAGTGTATTAAGGACTCGCTCTGTGTCGGGCCGGGAAGGAAACGAGCTACAGGCATTATTTTCTCCGCGTTCACAATAGCCACCTGTGGCAGGTGCTATCCTTACTCCTGTGCTGCAGCTGGGGAAAGTCAGACTCAGGGAAGTCTAGTGACCTGCCTAAGGCCACACAGTGAGGAAGCAGCGGAGCTGGGGTCAGAACGAGAGCCGGGCATGCTGCTTCATCACCAGTACCCCGAAGGACCCACCCCTGCCAGGCCCTGGGGACAACAAAGAAATGCCTACCCCGATCGAGAAAAATAAGGTTGCTTTCCAAAGCGTCCTCATGAAAAGACTTCTCCCTGCTCTAGTTCCCTGTTTGCTCCGTAGACAGGTTGCCCAGGACAAAAGTTGGGCCTCTGTCCTCAGACTCGGGGTTCCTGTTCCTCATGGGCGGGACCTGGGAGGGTGCAGTGCCCCTACATTGCCTGCCCTGAGGGCGATGGCAGGAGCGAGGCTACAAGCCGGGGTGTGGAGAGCGGAGAGGAGGACGCTGAGGAGTTGCCCCCACTGCTGAGTGTCCCTAGGGGAAGATGGCCCAGGATCTCAGTGACAAGGAGCTGCTGAAGATGGAGGTGGAGCAGCTGAGGAAGGAAGTGACGAACCCCAGAGACCTGGTGAGCCTTTCCCCTCTCCCTCACTCCCTGTTCTCCCTGGGGATCTGGGGCTTAAAGGAGGTAGTGATGGGACACAGGACTCCTGGAAGGAGCAGGCAGCGCTCTGGGATGGGGCTTGGCCCGTGTGGCTGTCACCGCTCTCTGAGCATCGGCGCCTTCAGGGTGTTCCGCTGTCACCCTGGCTTGGACACAGTCCCTCACCATCTTTATGGGCTGGGTCCAGGCTGTACCTCTCTCCCACCTGCCTGTTCCGCGTATCTCTGTCCTCTGGCCTCATGGGATGAAGCGGGGCATTCATTCTGAGGAGGAACAGCACAACAAACCCCAGGCTGCACCCGCATTGTGTCCCCCCACAGGTGTCCAAGACAGGAAAAGAAATCAAGGCATATGTGGAGGCCCAGGCAGGAAACGATCCTCTTCTTCAAGGCATCCCCGAGGACAAGAATCCCTTCAAGGAGAAAGGTCCCTGTGTGATCAGCTGATGGCACTGAAGCCCCTGGCCTTCCTCCGCCTCCTCTTCACCCAGAGCCACCTGAGGACAACGCCTCTCCTCCCCCTCCCCTGGGAACCCCAGAACTTCACCTTCCCTCCACCTGCTCAGAACCACACCCCAGCTGTCCCCCCTCCCCCACAGGAGTAAAGCTCTCTGACTGAAGTCGATGTGAATCTGTTCCCCAAGTGCCCTTTCAAACTTTCTCTGCCAGCGGGGTCACCACTAGCCCCCCAGGAAGCCTCCTTCACGGGCTTAGCAATGAGCACCATTGGTGGGGGGCTCGGGGACTCCAGACAGCATGAGGGGGAACATTGACTTCTCTTTAGAAGCCCAGTCATTTGGAGGCCGGCCTTGGGAATGGTCTCGTGTCCTCTCCTGTGGTTCTCCTCCCAGCCGTTCAGATCACCCCGGATGGCTCCAGATAAAAGGAGCTTGGGAGCCACGATTGACCTCTTGCTTTATGGGATGTCACTGGGATGCCTAGTTTGTTCTGGGCACTAGGGATGGAAGAGCGAATAGGACCAGCATGGTTTCTGTTTCGATGGGATCGAAGCAAGCCATTGACAATGAATTCAATCAGTACTACTCCGATGGGGAATCCACAATGACGTCAGCACAGACATAGAGGTGGGGAGAGGAGAGAGGTCAGGAGAGCTTCCTGGAAGAAGTGGCTTTATGTTGATAAGGAAAAAGACCAATCTGAGGAAGGGAAATTGGGGGGTGGGGGTGGCACGAAGGGTGCTCCAAATGGAGGCGAAAGCCTGTGTAAAGCCTGAAGGTGACGGGGAGTGTGGTACGTTCAGGACAATGAGCACTGGCAATGGAGCGAACCTGTTGCATGCTGGGAAGGGGGCGGGGTGGTGAGAGACAGGGAGTGGCCAACCATGAGGCCAGAGAGGGTGATGGAGACCAAGTCTCGATGGGTCACTGCAGGTAAGCATCCAAGACTCAAGGCGGTGACCCTATAGCACAGTGGCTCTCAACCTATGGGTCACAACTCCTGTGGGGGTCGAACGACCCTTTCGCAGGGGTCACCTGATTGATAACAGTAGCAAAATGAGAGTGATCGAGTAGCAACAAAAATTATTTTATGGAAAATCAAGTAGCAACAAAAATCACCATCACATGAGGAACTGTATGAAAGGGTTGTGGCATTAGGAAGGTTGAGAACCGCTGCTCTAGGACAAAGCAAAGCTGCCCTTGGGGGTTTCAGAGACAGTCACTCTTCCTCCTGAAGAGCGGTTGCTGGTTTCAAACTGCTGACCGTGTGGTTAGCAGCCCAGCACGTAAGCACTTACGCCACCAGGGTTCAGTGGAGCTCAGTGTAGGACTTTTCTTTTCATCTGAGAGGAAAGAGGAAGCCTGGGCAGGTATTTAAGCAATGCATGGACATGCTTCAGGTCGTATTTTTAGCCCATTTGTTGTAGCATATCCCTCTGGCAGGAGGAAGATGGTCTCTGCTGAGGGACTAATGGAGGTGGGGGCGGACTCATTCTCGGCCTTGTCATCAAGGAGATTACTGTCTAGAGGATACCCAGATGAAAAGACAGTCAGAATGCAATGTGTTCGATTCTGCAGGGGGGTCTGAGGGGGGCGGGGGGCGATAGGTTGATGTTAGTTGCCACCGACCCTGTGCGCAATGTGCGCAACGGAACAAAACCCTGCCAGTCCCTGCGCCGTCCTCATCAGTGGGCTTAAGCTTGAGCCTGTGGGTGCAGCCCCGGGGTCAGTCCATCTCATCAGGGCCTTCCTGTTTCACTGCCCCTCCGCTTTACCAAGCATGATGTCTGTCCTCTGAGGAGTGTGACCTCATGCAGCTGAGAGTGGGTGTTGCAGCCTAGCAGGGGAGGCCGAGAAGGTTTCTAGAAGGAGCTGATCGGAGTTCAGTCTTGAGAGTTAAGTCAGAATGGATGAATGGAATGTGTAGTGAGTAGGACAAGCAGGAATGTGGGTGTGGGATAAACAGGGGAACACCGATCCATTTCAAGGTGTTGGGAAGTAATGCGGGAGGCCTTGATTCGTAGGGCCCGCAGCAGCAGAGCGGTGGGGCTGCAGATGATCAGAGAGGTCTTGTACACTGTGTCAAACAATCTTGTCCATAGAGGGGTTTGAAGACGCGTGACTTGGGAGGGTGGTGGTCGAAGAAAATGTGCCTTTTGACTAATGGGAAAGTGTACAGACAGGGAAGCAGGTCGGGCAGTGGTTGGGGCGGTCAGGGGAGAGGCAAAGAAGACCTCAATTGGATGGCGGGCCTAAATCCAGAGTTGGGCGCTGGGTTGAAGAGTTCTTGGGGAAATAAAGTTTTCGAATCTTGACAATTCAGAGTGAGGAGTGAGGGAGTAGGCTGACCTCTCAGTTCCTACCTGGGAGGATTTACTAGATAGGACTGAAAGCAAGAATCAGACAACTCTAAAATCATACACGAATCGCTGCTTGTCTACTCAGCCTCCCCTCCCCAGCAAGAGACAACCCAAAGATAAGCCATCTACACAGGAGTGAGGTCATAGGGCCCCTGCGTACTGCCCTCTGCTGGTGACTCTCAGGGACAACACACTGCTGGCTTTCACCCCCAAATGAGATCCCCAGGGTCTCTTCAGAAAGAGCCCAAGTGGTGCAGAGGTTAAGCGCTTGGCTGCCAACTGAAAGGTTGGTGGTTTGAATCACTCACTCACTCACTCACATCCAGTCGATTCTGACTCCTAGGGACCCTATGGGGCAGGGTAGAGCTGTTCTTGTGGGCTTCAGAGACTATAACTCTTTATGGAATTAGAAAGCCTCGTCTTTCTCCCACAGGGTGGCTAGTGGTTTCGAACTGTTGAGGTTAGCAGCCTCAACGTGTAAGCACTACACCACCAGGGCTCCTTACCATAAAGAATCCAACCTTGAACTCCCTGTGAGGTAGTTCTCCTTTGTCTTGTGAGTCAGATCAAGTTGATGCCCATGGGCACTCCTGCTGAGGCACACTTCACCAGAATAAAAGTCGGAGGGGCTGGTGCAGACTGTTGTGTGGAGAGGAGAGAGGATCCCTCCTGAACCGAAAGGGATGGGAACTGTGGAGGAGGGCTAGAGAGGGCCTCAGAGAAGCTGGAGCCAAAGGGGAAGCTTCTCACCGCCTAGGCCAGGGACTGTACACGCTGTTCCTTGGGATTGCAGCAAGTTATGGAATCAATTTAGTAAACTGAACAGCTTGAAAAACAAACAAACAAAAGTGATAGAGAACCCTACTGTGTCCACGTAGGGGCATTGGTCCAGTAGGAAAATTCTTACCTTACACGAGGAGACCTGGGTTCAGTGGTGACCAATGCGAGGCAGGCACAGCCACCGTCCGCCAGTCATGGCGGGTTAAGTGATCAACGATGAGAAAAGGGTTTTAGCAGTTTCCAGAATCAGATGGACGAGGAAGGAAGACTTGGTAAGCTGTGTCTGAAAATGGCTGACTTGATACCTAACAGCCTGCACCGGCAGTGCGTAAGGCTCAGCTTGTTTCTTCAGCCTCTTGCTTCAGTCTGCGGATGTGTGTGTGTACTGGGCTGTGATGTGAGATAGACTTCTCACGGGGGGCTTGTTACCACGAAACAAAAACACGAGAGCCTCTGAGAAAGAGAGAGAAGTCATTCACAGCCAAATTGGACCTCAGGGTGGAGAGGAAGGTGCCTTTGAGGAGCCTGACCTCTATCAGTGCCGTCATCTCCCCGCCCGCCTGCCAATTGACAAAGACCCATAGCCTCTTCAGAACACTCCCACACACCCAGGCTGTCCTGTTGTCCGCTCCGATCCTGAGAAAGCGTCTCTGGTGCAAACCTAGAGGAGGCACAACCAGGCATGGACATGAAGGTGGAGCCTTGTGTCTGCTAAGATTTCCCTCTCCTCACGTACGCATTGATGCTTTTCACAAGTTGTTCTAGAAATTTCCAGTATTGAGAATATCATGGATCTAAAAAAATACACTGTAATTGTGTCTATGCTGACTCATAGTGACCCTTTAGGACTGGTCCCGTGGATTTCTGAGACTGTAAACTCTTTATTTATTTATTATTTATCTATCCATCCATCTATTTATTTTGGGGACTATAACTCTTTCAGAAATAGAAAGCCTCATTTTTTTTTTCTCCGGAGGAGCGACTGGTGGTTTTGAACTGCCAACCTCATGGTTAGCAGTCCAAGGCATAAGCACTATGCCATCAAGTCTCCTCTACCAAGGACCTGGCACCTAAATATGAGCTGCCTTATGAATCCTGACAACACTGATGAAAAGGCACCATTGTATCCTTTTAAGGGAAAAAAAAATGTACTCTGAACTTCGAAGTTGCTAGCCAGTTTCTGACAAGCTGAAATGTCTCTCGGGTGATCTCTGGGATCGAGTAAGACCTTCTAAATGCAGATCAACGGCTCGGCACAGCCTCTTCTCTTGCCTCCCTTTCTGGCAACAAACCTTTCATGGAGGGCCGTCCTCTTTCTGGCCGCCCCTCCACTTTACCAGACAGGCTGTCCTTCTCCAGGGACTGGTCTCTCCTGACAGTATGTCCAAAGTCTGTGAGATGAAGCCTTGCCATCCTTGCCGCTAAGGGACATTCTGGTCTTATTTCTTCCAACACCGATGGGTTTGTCTTTTGGCAGCCCATGAGACTTTCAATATTCTTCCCCAGCACCACAATTCAAATGCACGGATTCTTCTGTCCAATAGTATTCCATTGGATAGCCACAGCTTATCTACCCATTCTACTCTTGATTGAAATTTGAGTTCTTTTCCAGTTTGAGATGTTTTAGGGTACAAAAGAGGCACTTTCTCAAATATAATTTACAGAGAACATTTATTAGGTCTTTAAAGAGACAAGAACAACCAATGACATATGTGGGAAACAAAGGTTTCCCCCAAATTGTCTCCCCCAAATACATGCCAAACCTAGCTGCTTGCTACACATGGTGAATGACTATACACTTGGAGGTCAACAGAAGTAGGTCAGAGGTTACTCTCCCTAAGGGTTACCAGCCATCCAGAGCAAGCAGACACGAGTGTTTATCTCACAACAAGTAGGGCCCACTCCCTTCTGATAAGGATAGTAGTAGATTGTTTCCCTGAAGGAGAGCTCAGGAAGGTCAAGCCCACTCAAGGGTGACCTGGATCATGAATCGAGGGTCTGCCGATCTTGTCACATGTGTAT